GGCCTTCTGTGGTTCCATATGAATTTTATAATTCATTTTTCTATTTTTGTGAAAATATTGAAAATTTTATAGGGAATACATTAAATCTGTATATCACTTTGGGTAGTATGCACATTTCAAAAATATTATTTATGCATATTCATGAACATGGAATATCCTCCCAATTATTTGTTGTTTTCTTCCATTTCTTTCATCAGTGAGTACATGAATCTTTTACTGCTTTGGTTGAATTTATTCTGAAGTTTTATTCATATATATAAAACATTTATTTATATATGCATAAAATTGCATATGAGATTGTTTTCTTGATTTCTTTTTTGGAAAGTTTGTTGTTAATATATAAAAATGCTACTGATGTTGTATGTTGATTTTATGCCATGCAAAATATTGTTGAATTCACTTATTAGTTCTAACAGTTTTTTGGGTGGAGTGATTAGCATTTTCTATATATAAGATTATGTCAAAACAGCATAGTAGTACCATAAAAATAAATATATAGACTAATGGAATAGAATAGAGAGGACAGAAATAAATTCACACATTTATAGTCAATTAATATTTGACACAGATGCCAAGAACACACAATGGAGAAAGGACAGTCTCTTCAATAAATGATGTTGGGAAAAGTGGATATCCACATACAGAAGAATAAAATTGAACCCATATCTCATACCATATACAAAAATCAACTCAAAGGATTAAACATTTAAACATAAGATCTGAAACTATAAAGCTTTTGGAAGAAAACATAGGGGAAAAGCTTCTTAACCTTGTTTTTGACAATGATTTTGTTTTTTTGATATGACCTTGAAAGCATGGACAACAAAAGCAAAAAGAGACAAATGGGATTGCACCAAACTAAAAAGCCTCTGAGCAGCAAAGAAAACAACAGAGTGAAGAGACAGCCTATGGCATGGGAGAAAATATGTGCAAACCATACACCTAATCAGAAGTTAACATCCAAAATATATATGAAACTCAATAGCAAGAAAACAAATAACCCAATTAAAAAACAGGGTAAGAACCTGAATAGGTATTTCTTAAGGAAGACATACAAATGACTACAAGTATATGAACAAATGCTCAACATCATTAACCATCAGGAAAATGCAAATCAAAACCACAATGAGACTCATCTAAAAAGTAGAGGTTTGAGGCCAGGTGCGGTGGCTCACGCCTGTAATCCCAGCACTTTGGGAGGTCAAGGCGGGCAGATCAGGTCAGGAGATCGAGACCATCCTGGCTAACATGGTGAAAGCCCGTGTCTACTAAAAACAAAAAAAAAATTAGCCAGGCGAGGTGGCCGCCTCTGTAGTCCCAACTACTCGGGAGGCTGAGGCAGCAGAATGGCGTGAACTCGGGAGGCGGAACTTGTGGTGAGCCGAGATCGCGCCACCGCACTCCAGCCTGGGCAACAGAGCAAGACTTGGTCTCAAAACAAAACAAAAAAAAGAGTAGAGGTGACATAAATACACACCTCTAACTTTGGGAAGGTTAATCACAATTGTAACAAGAGCTAACTATGACAGGCACAGTTATAACCTCAAGTAATAGTACAATTAATAGAGACATAATACAATAGTACAACTTACAACCTTTTTTTTTCTATTTCAAGGGTCTTTTTGTTTTATTCCTTGTCTATTTTCATACCTCTGAAATGCCTAAGGGTAAAAATCCAAAATATATAACAGATACACAAGGGCACTGTGGAATATGGGCGCTGCACCTTTTTACAGTCTCATTGGGGGTGGGGGCAGGGTGGGGAGTATACAAGGCACACCTCTAGTGATGAACAATGTAATTTTCTTTTATATATGGAACTTACAGGCTAGTTGGGGTGGATACAGGGAGAGACACAAACAATAGGAAAATTTCAAATAATATGAACTGCTATGAGAAATATAAAGCAAGGTGACAAGATAGAATAAAATTGATGGGTGAATGTGGCCATTTTAAAAAGGGTGGTTAGAGAAAGCCTCATTGAAGATGTGACATTCAATCTGACACCTTTATGATAAGAAAGAATGAGCCATGCAAAATTCTGGGGGAAGAGCATTCTGGGCAGAGAAAACAAGGGGAAAGGCCATAAAATAAAAACAAGTTTGGTATGTTGAAGAACAGAAAGCAAGCCAACGTAACTAGAGCATAGAAAATGTGAGATGAATGTTGAGAGGAAGTATATAGAGGCAGGGGGATAGGTCTTGGTAAAAAATTGAGACTTTATTTTAATTGCAATAAGAAGTCATTGGAAGGTGATTTGCAACTTGGAGGATTAATTTAGAGCTATATAAATTATCTAAGAACTTTGGATGCCACAGCTGGAACAGTTTCTGGAAGCCTCAAACAAAAACATGATACAGAAAAAACATTAGGAGTGCTGTGAGCCATAGAGCTACGTTGAAACCAGAGCTTAAGCCCTCATATCCAGATTCCACTTGTTAAGATACATTTTATACATTCAACTCATTAAGATACATTTACAATTAACTCAATCATTGTGACATGCACTGTTTTAGGCACCAGGGATACAGCTATGAAGAACAAAAGTTTTTTGCTTTAAATTCTAGGTTAAAGAATAAAGGAAATAAATATACTATAACACTGAGCAGTTATTCAGGGTTTTAAAAAAATAATCTGGGTCAGGTGCAGTGACTCATGCCTGTAATCCCAGCACTTTGGGAGGCCACGGCAGGCGGATCATTTGAGGTCAGCAGTTTGAGACTAGCCTGGAACTCCTGGTGAAACCCCAGAAACATGGTGAAACCCCGTTTCTGCTAAAATACAAAAATTAGCTGGGCCTGGTGGTGGGCGCCTGTAATTCCAGCCACTCAGGAGGCTGAGGCAGGAGAATCGCTTGAACCTGGGAGGCAGAGGGTGCAGTGAGCCGAGATCGGGCCACTGCACTCCAGCCTGGCGACAAAGCGAGACTCTGTGTCCAAATAAATAAATAAATAAATAAATAAATAAATAAATAAATAAAATCTGTCTGTGCCTGGTGACAAAGCGAGACTCTGTGTCCAAATAAATAAACAAACAAATAAATAAAATCTGTCTGTGCCTGGTGGCTCACGCTTGTAATCCCAGTGCTTTGGGAGGCCGAAGTGGGCAAATCACCTGAGGTCAGAAGTTTGAGACCAGCCTGACCAATATGGTGAAACCCCATCTCTACTAAAAATACAAAAATTAGCTGGGGGCTGTGGCCAGCTCCTGTAATCCCAGACACTCAAGAGGCTGAGAGAGAGAATCCGGGAGGCAGAGTTTGCAGTGAGCCGAGATCGCACCACTGCACTCCAGCCTGAGTGACAGAGCGAGTCTCCAGCTCAATAAACAAAAACAAAACAAAGCAAAACAAAAATCTATGGTCCTTGCTAGTATTTCAACTTTACGACATGTCAGCATTATTTATCAATTGTGATAGCCCTACAACCTAGTAAAATGCTTCACACATAGTAGATACTCAATAATTCTCAAACCGAATTGGGCAAGATTATTGTTAGCTCTAATCTGACTGATACACCATATTCTGTTTTGTGAATGTATCTCCTTAAAAAAAAAAAAAAACCCTGTGTCCTATTTTTGATAGATATATTGGGACACCATTTTTTTCCCAAAAAGACTTTGTTTTTGTTTTTTGTTTTTTTTTTTAGAGCTTTGCTATATTAATCACTACATTATCTTTATTCAGTGTTATGCATTATACCCAAAGCAAAGAATTTAATTCTCTATGGCGTGTATCTATTTTGGACTTAAATTATATGAAGTCAGTTAAACCCACAATTTTTTTCTAAACAATTTATTTTCACGGTCACCTAAGTATGCCCTATTTTGTTTTTGCACATCATACAGAAAGTCATGAAATGGATAACCTTTGTCCTTTCCCATTTTCAGCTATATGTCCTATAAGAAAAAATAAAACTATTTTTCAGTTATTGCAGAAGGCAGTTTAAAATGCTGTTGTAATTTGATCTTTTGCTGGCCTTTTCCTTCACTCTCTGTTCTCCAGGTCAGGAGAACTATGAAGAGTTCCCCGAAAGTGCCATGGTCTGTTTCATGGTACCCATTCAACATTTGGAATGTCTTTTCTATCTTCTTCTTTTCCCTCCTAGATAATTTGTCTTCAACTTTCAGACCTCAACTAAACTTTATCTCTAAAAATTCTTTTTGACCTCCCATATCTGGTTAGTTGCTTATGTTTTTCCTATTAGCAGCATTATCACATGCCATTGTAATTTCTCTATTTATTCTCCACTTCTTTTATAGACTATCAACTCCCTGAGGGCTGGGACTAGTTTGGACAGTTCCAACCCTACCTCTTAACGCAATGACTACCCAATAATAGACCCTTAATAAAAATACACTGAATGAATGAATAAATGAATAAATTAGCTGTCATTTTTCCAAGGCAGATTGTAATTTAATTTGTTCTTATCATCTGGCATATTAAAAAGGGGGCTTTGTTCATAATTTGTGACTTTCTCAGTCTCCTGAGTTCTATTTTTGTGACTCCCTTTTATTTTATATAGTTTGATACTTAGCATGTTACTTCAGAACAACATAGCTTTTAAGTCTGTGATAGAAAAGAAAGAGAAGACAATCTAGTATTGTTATAAATCTGCCCTTAGGACCTATTTCTCAGGAAAAGCAGACAGGAATGAGTAGTGGTTGAGGATCTAAGAGCAGGCGGTGTCATTATAAAAACGAGAACAGGGCATCATTTCCACATTCACTTTCATTCCTCTGATATTCCCGCTCGCAAAAGCTCTAGCTTGATTGTTGACAGTCAACGAGTGAGAACTGTGGTTTCTACTGCCTTTATACAGAAAATCAGCGTGGCTGTATAAGAAGGGGTGAGAAATGGTGTTTCCTCTCATGAATAAAAACTGTGTATCCTGATGTTGCTGACAAAGAGCTGAAGTTACTAAACCAATGATATACTCTCAGGGAAATGTACGTGAAAAGATACTTACTATTTTTTCTTTCTTTTCTCCCCCCTCCCCTAGCTCTTTCCAGCCAATTCAACGAAAGGAACCAGGAACTGAGGAGGAAGGAAGTAATTGACATTCAAAGCCTCTATTTTTAGACACCTTTACACTTTCCTTTGCTTCTAACTAGCAAGGATTTTTCCAAACAAGCTTTTAATTAGCAGGTGAGTTTAATTGATATGTGGGTTTCTCAGAAGGGGAAAGGACTTCAGTGTGGAAAAGGAGGGAGAAGGAAACTCCATCACTCTCACTCACAATAGAAGGACCATTACTTCATTTGCACCTGGATGTTTTAAAGGATCAATTTACTGTAGCAAAGAAAGAAGGCAGAGAATCAAAAGGTTGGAATCTGTCAGACAAGAACAGAGGCACTATAATTTAACATGCTAGGTGGATGATTTAGAACTTGGAAAAATATTGCTACCAACGTCCAAATACAGAAACTAACCTATTTGCATACAGTCAGGTTCTGTCCAAGTGCTGAGAAAAGAGTCATGTTTCAAAACCAATGAAGTTAATTTTTTAAAAAAAATTTAGTCTGCAGAAAAGTTAAAGAAATACATATTAAAATCACTGTTATTGATCTTAAAGGGGGAGTGCTTCATTAATGTACCTAAATGGTGATTTTTAACTCACAAAGAGGTTTTAAAAGTTTCATCCAAAATAGTCTGCTTTCTTGTCAGGGGAAGAGAAGGTGCATATTCTGTGTCCAATTTTGTAAAATGAGTGCTTGCAGGAACCATATGAAGGTATATACATCATGAATCAGAAAACCATTGGTTGCATGCCATAGAGAAAAATACTAAGGAAATCAGAAAACCAAAAGAATAAATTTAATACATATTGGCTATCCTCACAATCACATGAATGGCTGAATAATCAGGCCTCACATAAAGGTAAGAATTAACGCAGCTCTGAAATCTAGAAAGCAGAAACCAGTAGAGAATCCCCGTGAGGCATCAGCCACGAGAATGACTCAGCACTTACCATTTTATTTCCTATTGTTATTTAGATGGAAATCCCCAATTCCCAGATCTGACTGGTCTAGCTTGATTAATACAACCATTCATTGACAAGGGAGGTAACATTCTTCAGTCATACCAATATTTAGTGGGGGAGAAATGGTTTAAGTAAAAAAATTCAGGAGGCTGATGCACATTTTGATCTGCTTTAAAGCAGTATATATGTGTATAAACACATGCATATAACATATAACCTATACATGGATATGTAGGTATACTTCATTACAAAATTGTAGTTATCAAATTTTCCTCCACTATTCCAGCACCCATGCTCCCTGCCTGTTGTAGCGTGATTACAGGTGTTGAATGGGCACGGTGAAGCTCTGTGCACCCAAGCACTGTTAAAGTGCAGATTCTCCATCAGCCAGAGTGGAAGTCTGTGTTCCAGAGGAAGAAAATTCTCATTCGACTCCCTGCAGCGAGGAACCATAAAAAAAAAAATGGCTGCACTTTCACCCTTTAAGATGCCTTTTCAGATTATTTGATATTTATTCTTTAAAAAGCCTTAAATAATAGCCTGGATCCTGCTGAGTTCACCATAGAACTGTTAGAGACCTGTATTTATTAGACAAATGGTAGTTACATGGAACACAGAGTCCTAAGAGAGAAACAGGCTACATCAACATCTCCTACCCCTAAATTTCTGCTTTCATGATGGGCCCAAACCGAGACACTTAGTATTATTCCAATAGAGAGTCGTTCTTTGTTTGTATTAGGAAAGGGTAATGTATTATTTAAGAATGAGTCACCCTCTTCAGGATAAGTTTCGGGGATTCTTAATACATATCTTGAAAACTACATTTGTTTTTTTTTATTAGGAAAAAGAAGAGTGAGAATGTTTTGAAAAACTATTGCCTGACCTTATGGTTAATCCTAGTGTTTTCTGGTGGAAATGCATTTCTGTCTTGGGCATAATATTTAAATTCATAAATTGGGTAACTTGGCTTACGTATAGGCACTTTGGATATTTGTAAGAGAAACCTGAAGAGAATATCATATCCAATTACAGTCCTGCCTTGTATGATTTGTGGTCTTTTATATTCTTCTCTAGAATGTTAGCAATGCAAGCTCTCACAGCAAGCAGCTACCCGAGTGTAGTGTGTGCCGACGATAGGAAAGTAATGAAAATAAGAACCCTTGAATGCTGTAATTGGTGATCCAACCTCCTAGACTACTGAAAATTAATTGGCCAGATGTTCCCTACCCAACTGTAATGGGGGATAATGTAGGAGACTGAGTTTTCAACCTTCCCCAGGTGTGCACATTTGAGCAGAGAAAAGTGATTATGAGTGACATGCTGACAGGTGCAGCGCCCATGTTCCACGGTGCCCTTGTGTATCTGTTATATATTTAGGATTTTTCCCCTGAGGCACTTCAGCAATATGAAAATAGACAAGGAACAAAACCAAAAGACCCTTAAGATAGAAAAATAGCTTGGAAGTTGTGAATATTATATTATGCATATATTAATTGTATTATTATTTTAGGTTACATCTATTCCTGTCACTGTTAGCTCTTACTATGTTTATGTGCCAAACACTGCATTAAGCAATTTTAGAGGTGGTTTCTTACATCATCTCTGTTTTTTAGATGCATCAACTTATGTTCAGAGAGATAGAGTCAACCTGTCACAATTACACAGAAAGTAAGAGAGTAGGTCTTGAGGCTCTAATATCAGAGCTCGTGGGCCTTATCTACTAAGCTGTATAGTCTCCAAAAGAGCAGATTTGTTCACCTCTCCGAGCCACAGTCACTTTGATAAGTCCATTACTTGTATTATCTCATTTAATTCTTACAATCACCAACAGAGTTACAAATTACTTTCCCCATTTCACAGAACAAGACACGGATGCTATAAGAGTATGATGAACTTGACCAAGGTCACATGCTACTACAGAACAGAGAAGGTGCTCAAATCTAGTTTTCTCTGACTCCAAAGCCCAGGTCTTAATCACAATGAAGCAGTGCTACAGAAAGGATATGTCTTTTGGATATGAAAATATAGCATCATTGCTTTAAGTGTGATTTTTTAAATTGTCCTTATTCACATGTTGACATTCACAACAAAAACAGTTAATGTCTCCATCTTCTCCTATGCAACATTTCCTTTTCTTCAGTTTTGAATGGAGCCCAAAGCACCCTCTGATTTTGAAATTGCCCTCAAGAACTATTTAGAAAGAAAATGTTGTTCTTCTAATAAAACAGCACAGCTGTCTCAAAGAGCTTTTAATCCATCTTTTTAAAAGATGTGGACTTTCTAAAATAATGTCGCCCCCATTTGTCTTCTATGAAAGAAGATATTTCAAAACCAGGAACACCTATCATAATAAACCATTAAGATGACTCTAGCATTTCAGTGTATTTTTAGAATTTCATATTTCACCAAATGTTGTTATATATAATTCATGTAGTGGGATATGATGGGATTTGACAGTTATCTCATTTGTGAAGAAGGACCAAATAACTCATTGTCCCACATCCACAAATAAATTATTCTTGTCCCCAAGCTTGAGACTCTGTTTGTTAGTTTCCTCACCTTAATAGATTTTGTTTTCTACATAATACTTTTTGCAGAAGGCTATGACCCTAAACATATATTGGGCTACTGTGAGAGAATGAAATTTCTGAAAATTAGCCTCACAGATCTAAAAATGAAGCATTAACAAAATAGTCTCTACTTCTAGAAGTAAAAAGAGGCCTCAAGTGAAAATTGTTTCATAGGATTTCATTCAGTGTTTCTGTCACTTGTCAAACATGTGAAGAGAAAGCCTAAGTTTTTCCTGCCCTGTAAGTGGATACCATATGTTCTACCTAAAGAAGGGCCTAGAGTTCCACTCTTCTTCATTTCATCCATTTCAAACCCACATTTGATTCTAACATTACAATGTTATAGTTGACTCTAGAACTTTCCAAAAATTAGATGTGTAGGTCTAAGTGTCATGTTTTGGTCCACTGGGCATTTAAAAAGTATACATGAGGCTGGGCGCAGTGGCTCACGCCTGTAATCCCAGCACTTTGGGAGGCTGAGGTGGGCGGATCACGAGGTCAAGAGATCAAGACATCCTGGCTAACACGGTAAAACCTCATCTCTACTAAAAATACAAAAAAGAAAAAAAGAAAAAGCTGGGCATGGTGGCACGTGCCTGTAGTCCCAGCTACTCAAGAGGCTGATGCACGAGAATCACTTGAACCCGGGAGGCAGAGGCTACAGTGAGCAGTAATCGCGCCACTGCACTCCAGCCTGGGTGACAGTGCGAGACTCCATCTCAAAAAAAAAAAAAAAAAAAAAGACTCTATCTTAAAAAAAAATATATAGTATACATAAATATAATTAAATGAAATTTTTTCCTAATCAAATTACATCAATATGTTGCGTATATGCCTCACTGAATTTTGACTGTGTTTTCACATTTTGTTCTTCATAATCATGCATATTTCTTATGGCTTTTAATTTTACCTGGTGTGAATAATAGTTTATGATATCCTAGTTGATCAGATTCCTCGGGGCAGATGTTTCCTATTCTTTTTATTCTCAATTTATTGGCTATTCATAAAAACACTCGATAACTCTTTTTCAAATTGAAGTAAGATTACCTTAATGCTGTTTAAGAAACAGAAACAGTCCTGAGTTGCCTCCTTAAGGGTAAAGGTAAATCGTAGAAGGAGAAGAAGGTGGCTAGTAAGGAAGCATTTGGAGGGAATACTAACTTGCAACTTCACTGTTTTTATTCTTGGAAAGTTTTCCATGGGAAATTGTGTCATAATACATTTTTTATGTCTCTTATCATAAAATTTTTAACGTCTCAACATAAAAAATTCTAAGCAGGTATTTATAGGATGACTAAAGATACATATTCATATTTTGATCATAAACAACTAATATATACTACATAAGTAATATAGGAAGAGCACTTAGATTTACAATTATGTATGTTTAAGCTAGCACAAAATGACTGACTTGGTCAAGACATTATCACATATTCATATGTTTATTATTGTACTTATATATCATACTCCAATTAGATAGGTAGATAGATGTAGCACGTGTATGTATTCCATTTACTAAAAGGGTGTGTGTGTGTGTGTGTGTATGTGTGCAAATAACACTTGTGGCATCAGGAAGCATGGATAACTTAGCTCTAACCTTTTCCTGAGGATATATATACGGCAGAGGAGAAAAACACATCTAGGTATGAGCA